CTAACTAGACCTGGGAGCAGGGATGAGAAAGGAGGACATTGAGGGCTGGAATCCAACTGCTGCCCTGAAACAAATTTTTTTTTCAACTAAATATCGGCTTACTGAGATACAGCACAGCATAGTAGGGAGCTAGCCTTTAAGTTAGGAAGAATCTGGGTTCAAGACCTACCTCGGACACATACCAGTTGTACTACCTTGGGCAAGTCAATCTCTCTCAGTGACTTGACAAAATTCTCTTGGACTGTACATTGTAAAGATACTGATCTTCAGTGGTAAATGAAATTCCTCACCAGGAGCTCCCTACCCCATGAAATCACAGGTCTCATAAAAATGATTTACTCTTCAGCAGAGGGATTGGCCTCTCCCACCCTCCTTCACCCGGCCCTCCCAGCTAATGGATACCCAACAATGACAGCATTAGGCACCTGGCTCCATTTCAATTCACTGAGTAAACTTCCTTCTTCCCCGCCCCTGAAAAGGTTTGAGTAAATTTCAAATGTCCAGTCCAAGAATTACACACACATACACACATTTGTTGACTATTCCCCAGGTTTGTTTGTTTGTTTGTTTTTTAATTAAGGTATTTATGGCAACCATAAAAATAGAAACATCATGGTGAGGAATACAGCTCTTTGGCGATACAGATTTTTTTTTTTAACAGTTTTAAGATTCCATTTAAAGAGCAAGATCCCTGATGAAACAGTGGCCATGGGGCTGTTCCCCCACCCTTCAAATGTCAACACAGGAACAAGAGGGGAAGAAAAGCGGGTGTTGTCCAGTTAATTAGAGGACCAATCTTAGTTTCACTAAGCATGGAAAGGCTTGTACATTCCAGCAGCCAATGGGAGACCAACTCAAGGGGCCAGTTTTGATTGAACTGCTGTAGTCCATGTCAAAGAAAATGCTCCCAACGGCATATGCAAAAGATAGTTCTGTCCCAACATTGTCCATTCAACAAGTATTTACTCAATGCCTACTATATGCATAGGACAGGATGCAGTAGATAGATTCTATGTGTGCCATGTACATAGTAAGTGCTCTATAAACGCTTATTGATTTTAAGGATAATAGAACAGTGTTTAGCACTTAGCATTTTACACGTATTATACATTTGAAAGACCACACTCTTGCAAAACCAATTTACACATCCATGCTAAAAGTTCCATTGCTAACCCTAAAAAATTACTCAACATTTAAAAAAAAATACTAGAGCTTAGAAATGCTTTACATTTAAATAGCAATTTACATCATATAAACACATTCATCTCTTCATTGTTTAAAACTGGTCAAAGGTTCATTGCTGCTTTGCACCCCAGGTTAAGAATCACAGTTTTAAATAAGGTAGTAGAATTTGTGTGTCTAACATGCATCTTCCTTGTTGACAAGATGAGTGTCTGGTTTCCTTTAAGACCAGGTAATAAGTCAAACGTTGAAATCCCACAATGTCACACTCACTGGTGGATGGATTTTCTTTGAAACAAACAAAAAAAAAATCATCCTGCTCAACACTGTCCCAAAGATGAAGCAATTTGCAACAGATGGTTCTTAAATTACACGTGGGCCCTTCCAACTCAGTCCCTGAAGGCAAGGCCCTTCAAGAGATGAGGAGTCTATGCTCCTAAGACACATCCACCATGATGCTACCTGCTTAGACTACAAGTTTTCTTACAAGAAATCAAGAGGCTCCCTATCTCTAAGAGAACCCTTTTTATACTTTCTTGGGCTCACATACTTCCAGATTCAACCAATAATGCTTCAGAAAATCTGAGTTGGCTAAGAGTATTCATTGTCTCAGGAAAAAAATAAAAGACAGAAGGAAGTATTTGAAAGGGCAGTTCCCATTTAGCTTCTGTGAGAGTGTCCAGGGCATCAGCAGGAGGTTTTAAGCAGAGGATTTTGAGTGACTGAAGAAGGTAACAGGCACACAGGGATGAAGCATCTTTAGTCCTGAGAACTCTCAAAGAGTACTGGCTCTGGAGTCAGAGGTACTGGGTCCAAATCCCACCTATGTGACCATTCATCACTCTCTGACTTCAATGTCCTCATCTGCAGAACAAGGAAATTGGCCCTCCAAGGTCCCTCCTACCTCCAAATCTAGGAGTCCAGGAAACTGTAAGTCAGAAGCCAATTCTCCAAGGACAGAGATCTGATACAATCCTAGGACATTCCCCCCCACACCGCCCCATTTGGCACTGTAATGAGAAGTACTCGTTTCTCACTCTCAGCAGTCAAATTGGCATGGCTGCCTACCTTGGGTTTTCCAAGTCACGAACAGCCAACCCAGATAAAATGTACAAAATCCAAATGGAGCCAATTGAAAGAGAAGCTGAGAACTTAATACCCCAGTCTGTTCAGAGAGGGACCCAGTACCAAGAAAGAGTGCTACCAATAAATGAGTAGTGAGAGGTCTTTTTACTCAGGCATGAACTGGCATTGTCCAACTCCACTTAACACCTACAGCGTGATGCTTGCTGCTCAGGGCGATTAGCTGAGACAGCAAGGGCCCACCCCAGAAAAAGTCAGAAAGTCTCAGAAATAAGGAAATCAGGCCTTGTCTAAAACGCTGTTTTTAGACCAGGGAGCTAGGTACTCTAGCAATAGAGGATGATGATAATCAGGATTAAGTCAGAAGAAAGGTCAAGAAACATTGGGCAAGTTGACTCTTCCGTGGAAGATATTTAATTCAATAAGCATTTATTAAGCACCTAATATATACCAAGTCCTGTGCTAGGTCTTGGGAATACAAAGATAGAAAACAAAATGGTCCCTGCCCTCTAGGAGTTTATATTCTACACATTTTAACACCTCCCCCCAATACACATGAGTTATGCCCATTTTTTGACATCAGGAAGTAAAATTATTGTGATATGTACTTTCTGTAAAGACTTAGTGAAGGGAAGACAGGTTCCCTCAGAGCTCTTTTCCTTGCTTAGAAAGCAAGATCTGGGGGCAGCTAGGTGGCACAGTGGATAAACACAGGCCCTGGATTCAGGAAGACTTGAGTTCAAATCCACCCTTGGACATGTACTAGCTGTGTGATCCTGGGCAAGTCACTTAACCCCAATTGCCTCCAAAAAAAAAAAAAAAAAAAGGAAGATACGCTTTTATACCTCAAGGAGAAGGAAATATACTGGAGTGCAGGGGAATAGAGCCCTGGCACTGGAGTCAGGGGAACTGAATTCTAGTCCTGACTCAGCTAAATCCTCCACTGGACCCATAGGCAAGTTCCTACATCTCTCCCAAGTGCCAGCCATCAAATGAGGTTAATAATAACAATTGCATAACTCCCAACTCACCAGGCAATTGTGAGGATCAAATAATAAACACTAGAGAAAGACCTTTGTTAAATCTTGAAGAGCTATTTAATGGTGGCTATTATTTTTATGGGTGCCCTAGGTACAACCACACCGGCTTTGTCATTTTCTTGCCTCTTTTTTCAGTCACCTAGTTAATTGTCAACAGAAAAACTACACACCACAAAGCTACAGGCCTGGGGCCAGGCTGTGGGTACCATTGGGCAGAAAATTAAAATTCAGCCTGTCCAGGTCCCAGGTCCAAGATCATGCTTCTTACAGTCAAGGCAGACTCTTGCTGCCTTTACCTATTTGCAAATATCCAACAACCAATACTGAGTGCCTACTGTGTGTTATTCATCAATCAGTAATTACTGAGTGCCGACTGTGTGTTGGAGAACGAAAGAGAATTAAGGTCCCTATAATCTTGGTGGCAATACATCCTGGTCCTCGTCTTGCAGATCAGGAAAATGGGGCAGAAAAATCAGGAGAAGGTCAAAGGCGTGGGGCAAAAACTAGAGCAGGAAGACTAGGGATAATTTGGCTCCACTTTCATTTTCCCCTAGGTGTAAGCCAATGCCTTGCTTTCCAGACACCTTGGAGCCAGTTCCACACCTGGTGGTGCCCCTGGTAACATGTCATAATAATAAAAAAAATTATAGGATCATTAAATGAGATCTGCAACAAATGTTAGAGGACATCTAGTCCTGTAACGTCCTCATTTCGTAGATGAGGCAACTGAAGCTCAGATAAGGAAGTGACTGACCGAAGGTCTCTCTGACGGACTCCAACTCCAGCATCTTTTCCCACTATGCCACAATGCCCATTTTGGTAGTGTTATTTCCTGATCAAAATGTGGAATGTCAGTCAACCAGGCCAGAGCAAGGATAGATGAACCTGGAAGAACTGAGCCATGGGGAAAAGAATTGGGAGAGAAATCCTCATTTTCAAAAATCATTCTCATCACCTCATACCCCAACACACACATATAGCTTCCCCCAAATAATTGTGACTCTCCTTTGAAACTCCACCAGTAATTCTCTGACTGTTCTTGCTACATGACTCTGTTTCTCTTACACATCTTTTTCTCTTTTCTGGGGTTCTGAAAGTTGATCCTTTTTCATTCTCCCTAAAAGACAATCTTTGGAGCTTTCCCTGTTTTACTCGAGCTAGAGGGCAGGAGATGGATGACCTCTTAGCTCTTATTCCCAAGTTGGGGTGCAAATAATTACTCCTACAATACAGCGTTCACTCCCACCCTGCCGACTCCATCTAAAAACTAGGATAAACACAACCAAGGATGGACCATAGGAGAAAGGTAAGAGACAGGGGAGTCTCACCAATCAGCCAGGAAAAAAGTAATCTCTGCAGGAGTAGGCTGATCTGGTTACAGAATCCCTGATAGAATGATTCTTTTAATCTTTCTCTCCCCATTAAACTCTATCAGCCCAGTGCGGAGATGATAGTAGAGCAAGTATCACCTCCAGCTTCCAATTACTGATCACCCAGAGACTGAGTCCAATCTCCCAGCATCTTTTGGGCTCATCACCATTGATCCAGAAGGTTCCCAAGACCTATGTCATTGGAGTACAGTCAAGCTATTGTATCCATCTCTCCCAAGAAGGACACTTGGCGTCCTCACAAATAGAGAACATATCACCTTATTCTTAATTATCTTGCATTTAAAAAAAAACAACAACAACAACATTTAATGCCCTCTGATTTCTTTTTTGTTTTTTCTTGTCCTCTAGGCAGGTAGCAAAAAGTGGAGAACCACATTATTCTTGCAACAGAAATGAACTTCACAAGAGGCAAAAATTGATCATAACCACATTCAGCATCATATTTCACAGAAAACTGTGTACGTTTTTTCCTCATACAGGACATACTTCAAAGTAACAAAATAATTTTAACAACTGTAGTGTTCCTTCTTCCCGTTAGACGTAGATTGTTTCTTCCCTTATGGTACATAAATAGGAGAAAAGTAGTCTTTGAAATATTTACGTCCAGAGGTTCTTGGCTTGTTGGGTGTGTGTGTGTGTGTGTGTGTGTGTTGATTTCTGTTCCGACAGCCCTAATTTTCATTTTCTCTCCAACCCCGGGCATTCTTCCCAAATTTATATACCAGTCTCCGTCCATCCACACGTTCCAGAATTTCTCGTTTGTAATAGTATCTGTAAAAAGGAAAATATACAAGGATGCTAGAAAGTGAAGCAATTGGCATTTTGTCCCAAAATACCAAAATTAGAGGGAGCAGAAACCACTTTCTGGCCTTCAGCAATAAGCAAATAATAGAATTTAGCACCTTAGTTAAAGGAGAGAGATTCTCCCACCCCTCCCCCCCAACCAAATTCAATTCAACAATACTACATAGAAGCCAGGCAATGGTGGGATGGTTTCCCAAGGTCTCTCTCTACCTGCCCCCTCCCCAACACATACATAAAAAAGGCAACTCTGGCCCCTCCCTCAGCTGAGGGTGTCCTCGAAGCCACTTGCCCTAGGAGTTAGCATTATAGGATCATCAATTTAGGGCTGGAAAGGACCTGAGGGCTCACCTAGCCCCACTCCCTCATTTAACAAATGAAGAAACTGAGGCACAGAGAGATAAGAGGACTTTCCAGAGCTCAAACCAGTCCAAATGCCCCACCAGGGTGGGCAGGGCTTTGAATCTAGGCCATACTCCATCCAGCTCAGCACTCTTTCCTCTTCCCTCTTCCCTGGCTAGTCATGGCCCCGTCAGTGGTCATTCGGCTTTTACGGTATTCTAGACCTCTGGAATCATTTACCTCATAGCCCGGCTGAGTTTTTCGTAGGTCATGCTGCTATTGTTCTTTTTCTTCCCCCAGAGCTGAGCCACTGCCTCCGATTTCAGGAATCTGAAGATGCCCTCAGACCGGTCTTCCCATTTTATCAACCCCGGGTTCTTATCCGGGTTCAGGAGAATATCTCGGATGAACTCCCACAAGTGAGTCCCTCGAGGGTCTAACCAAGAGAGCAGAAACAACTCGTCACCAAGGAGTGAGGGAAGGGCAACAAGTCTTCAATTGCTACATCTATAGAATGTAAGCACCGTGAGGGCAGGGACCGTTACTTTGTGATTATTGTTGTTTTGTTTTTACAGTGCCTAGAATATATTAGGTACTTAATCGTTGCTTGTAGAATTAAATTGAATTAGATTATCAATTAGTGCCAGTCTAACACCTTCCTTTGGGTGTCCCCCTCCTTTCAGTTCTATTTTATATATTGTCTCCCCTTATTAGAATCTAAGCTCCTTGAAGGCAGGGACTGTCTTTCTTTCTGCTTATATTTGTATCCCCAGTGCCTGGCACCCAGTAAGTGATTAATAAATGTTTGTTGATTGATTTTTATTCAGATAAGGGTTAAACTTGATGACCTCTGAGGTCCCTTTCAGTTTTGAAATTAGGTGATTCTATCTCCTTCAACACATGGGATATGTGCTTCAATTCAAGCCAACAAGCAATTATTAAGCACCTACTATGTACATGATACAGTGCAGGAAACCTTTCAATGTGTATATTAGTTGAGGACTGAAGAGTAGACTGGAGCCCTTCCCTGTTAAATTCATCAAGTCATTTCTACATTCCAGTTTATGCTTCAACTTCTTGTCCCCAGCTCCACGGCCGTGACCTCATACATCTATCAACATAGAAGACAATCTATGGAGCACCTACTCCATCTAAGTATCTCTTGCCTGAAGGTATAAGTATCTTCAGGAAAGAAGGAAGAGTGAAAGGGAGAGACAGACACAGACAGAGAAAGAGAAAAAGAAAGAAAGGAAGGAAGGAAGGAAATATTATTCCAGGAAAGAACCCCAACTCCATTAAAATATAAACTCCTTTAGGGAAGGAACTGTTTTGGCATTTCTTTACATCTCCAGTACTTAGCACTGCCCCTTAGCATGGTGCTTAATAAATTTGTTGATTTTCAGTAAATACTTAATAAATGATTGTTAACTGGCTAACTCTAGGTGCCCAGAAAAGTTTCACCTGCTGGACAACTAACTTCCTTTAAAAGCTATATGTCTAAATGTTTGGGAAAGAGTTAGTATTGATTAACTAAAGGAAATGACCAGGAAGAGAAAAGCCAGCTGGCCCCAAAATGTCACCCACAAAAGGGGAGAACCTTTCACCTTTCCCAATAAGTGCTTTTTTTGTTTTGTTTTGTTTTTAATTGAGAGTAGCCAGGGCAGTTAGGTGGCATAGTGGATAGAGCACAGACCCCGGAGTCAGGAGGACCTGAGTTCAATTATGACCTCAGACACTTAATTGCTGTGTGAACCTCCCTGGGCAAGTCAACCCCAATTGCCTAAAAAAAAAAAAATGAGGGTAGTCAGAGAGGGCAACATTAGTCTACAAATAAATTCTATTCTTGATCACTCAGCAGGTGACCAAAAGGGCATTTCATCCCAGCTCCTCAGCTCCAACCCAAGAGCAATACGTTATATTTCTACAGAGTTTTAGGGCAGTACAGTAGGGAGCATGCGTTATAGAAAGTCAAAGAAAGTCAGATTCTAGCTCTCCTTTTTACTATTTATACTAAATCTATAATCCTAAGTCACGTCACCTCTCTGGGTCTCAGTTTCCTCCAAGCTCCCCCCAGCCAACTCTAAACCTATGATCTGTTGATCCATTATCTCATTTACTACTCAGAACAAACTCAGGTCAATGGTAATGGAAATATCATTATCCTCATTTCACAGATGAGGAAACTGAGGTTCAAGGGGGTAAAGCAACTTACCCAAGGTCACACAGTCAATAAGTGGCAAAGTCACTGCTAAGTATTAAAGATTGGGTTTGTAAATATGACTGAACCAGTCATGTCTGATTCTTCGTGGCCCCATTTGGGGTTTTCTTGGCAGAGATGCTGGGGTGGTTTGCCATTTCCTTCTCCAGCTCATCTTACACATGAGGAAACTGAGGCAAAAAGGGTTAAGTGACTTGTCCAGGGTCCCACAGCTAGCAAGTGTCTGAGGTCAAATTTGAACTCAGGTCTTTCTGACTCCAAGCTCAACACTTTATCCACTGAGCCACCTCACTGCCCTACCTCCTGTTTTAGTATATGAATAAAAGTTGGGGGTGGGAGGGCATGGAGAAGGGGAATTGGAAAAGTGATGGCAGAAACCAGTCTGATGTGATGTGAAAATAAGCTCTAGATTGGAAATCAAAAGACTTGAGTTCAAATCTTGTCTCTGTTATTTACTATCTGTATTATTTGGGGGAAATCATCTAATAGCTGTTTTTGAGAATTTGAAGGACCGTGCCACAGATGGGAGATTCAACTTCTTTGGCAATTAGAATGCTCCATGAGGTTGCTTTGGGAGGTAGAGGGCTCCTCCTTACTAGAGGCTTGCCAAGAATGTTGAAGAAAGGATTCTTTTGACCATGGGTTGAACTGGACAGCCCCTGAGGTCCCTAAAAGCCTCCAAAACTCTGTGATTGCATTTAGTGGGGGCTCAGTCTCCTCCTCTGTGAAATGAGATAATTAGCACCCCCCAGTGAGGTCATCCTGTAAACCTATGCCTAGCTTCTCTTGAGCAATAGAGTGCTTTCTTTGCTCTCCAATAAGAATGTCTCTATCTACCTACCTATCCATTCATCCTGCCATCATTCCACCTGTTTCATTCATTCAATGAACATTGATTAGTGCCTACCATGTACAATTCAAGGGAGAGATTTAAAAAAAAAAATTCAGCTAATCAATCACCAAACATTTATAGTATTTCCTATGTGCTGGGCACCATGTATACAAATACAAAAATGAAATCATCTTTACCTTCAAAGTGTTTATATTCTACTAATCTAAACTAAAACCGTTTCAGTCTAGAAGGCGGCTAAGCCAAACCCAGATAAGTGTGACATACAATATTCTGTGATTATGTGCCTTAGAGCGGTGAGGAACAGAGGATCTCATGAGGCCAGAAAGGGATGTTAACCAAGCTCAGGCATCAGAATAGGCTTCACATATGTCAGGGGCATCTGAATTGGGCTTTAGAAAACAGGTAGAGATTCAGTCAATGAAAGGGGAAGGGAAGACACAGAAATGAGAGCAAGAAAAGGCAAGGAGGTCTCAAAGACAGGTCTATTAAGGGAATAGAGAGTGGTCCATTTGGATAAAGGCATGTTGTACATAGATCCATGGAGGGAGAAAGGACTGGGAAGGTTGGGTGATGCCAGCCGCTAGAGAGTCTCGGAGGCTAGTCAGAGGAAGCTGGCCTTGGCTCCACGGTCACAAGGCGACCACTTACTATGTTTTTTGGGGTGAGATTTGGCGGGATGCTCCTGCTCCTTCTTCAGATCGGGTGAATCTACTCAGGACGAACAGAGAAAAGATGCTCATGTGACATACTCTGCACCATTCTTTTTCACTTTAATAATACAAAAATATAAATGCCAGTTATAAAGAGACACCTTTCAAACCGGGTCAGATCCTTTCTTCTGCTTTTTTTTTTTCTTTTGGCATGCAAAGTTATATTTTAATCAGCCTGACAAAGGAACCATTGATGGGATTTGAGTGACTGCAGAAACATATAGATTAGTTTAACAAAGAAATGACTCACTGTGGGCCCTGTGCCTGTCACCAAGGGGGGAAAATGACCCAGGCACAGCTGAGGCACAGCTGAAATCGAGTTAAAACTGTAAAATTGAGAGGCAGAATTGGAGGTATCCTATGTGCTGTCTGTGAGACTTTATATTATGGGGATATTTAGGAAGACTGTACAAAGAATGAGTATAATAACTACCTCAATGCTGAACTCCGCCCCCTCCCAACCCATTTTCCTTAGAGCACTACCTCAAATAAAATATAATCCCCAAGCCGGCCCTATCAAGAAAAGTGGTACAGAGGAATGACTGTTAAGATTTGGAGTCAGAGCAGCTGCTACTCAACAGCTGTGTGACCTTGAACAAGTCTCTTCAAGTCTCTGGTTCTCGGTTGCCTCTTTCTGAAATGACAGGACTGTACTAGATGCCTCTGAGGTCCCTTCTTCTCTAAATCTATGACCTTGTGATGTTACAGACTTTCCTTCTACAGTCTCTCAGGAGGGCAGTCCAATGACGGTCATCGACTACTTGCCGGATTTCATTCTCCTGAAACCAAGAGTCCAGCCCTATCCCATTAAGGGACTATAAGGGTATTGGGCTTCAGACAGAAACTGGACTTAAGCATTCTGGGCCGCCTCTCTCAGATGGATCAGTCTACGTGATTGAGCTTCTCTCTTCACAAGGCTTTTAGTGGTTCCCACAAGGGGCCCGTGCAAACTACCTGAGTCGGATGTGAAGGGGTGAAAATTTGTCAAGACGTTATACTAATCACTCTTATTTGTACACCTCTATATCTATATCATCTCATTTGCTCCTCACAACCACTATGAGAGGTCAGTCAGCGCTAGGACTGATTCTATTTTGTTTTCCAGTCTGATCCCATTTTATAGGTACCAATACCGAAGCTCAATAAGGTTATTACTCACCCAGGGTCACATAGCAGCTAATAAGAATCCAAGGAAGAGTCCAAACTGTAGTGTTCCTGGTCCCTATTCTAGCTCTGCCTTTCTGCTGAATCCAGTCCTCCACTAATGTGCTACCCACACGTCTCTTCAAAGCATTGAAGGGGCCATGCCAACCTGAAGGACCACAAATTCAAGTGGGTCCTGACACGGCGAGTCCATCATCAGAGGACCAACCAAGTTAAGGTGAGAGGGTCAGCCAGCTGCCGAGTCATTTTCTGGACCACAGCAACTCAAGGAGAACCACGGCTTGGGCCATAAGACAGTGACCTTGGCCTCCTTGCTGCTCCCCACATCTCCAGACTGTGGGCGTTTGCACTGGCTGTTCTCCACGCTGGAATGCTCTTCCTGTTCACCTCGGCCTGACTGGAATCCCAGCTAAAATCCCACCTTCTACCAGAAACCTTCCGCCCCGCCCCAGCTTAAAGCTAATGTCTTCCCCTTCTGTTGTATCCTTCCAATTTTTCCTGTGTGTGTCTTGTACATAATTGGCTCCCCCGCTGGACTGTGAGCTCCTGGAGAGGAGAGATCGTCTTTTGTTTCATTTGGGTTTTGTCCTTTTTTTCTTTTTTCCGGGGTATCTCCATTACTTAACACAGTGCTTGGCTCACGGTAGGGACTTAATAAAAGCCTGTAGGTTTGACATGATGTATCCAGTCTATGATTTGGGTGACTGAAGGAATTCTAGCCAGATAGAAACCTGGCTTTTTTGAAATATAAGCAAAAGTAGGCACAGCTAGATGGTGCAGTAGATAGAGCACCGGCCCTGGAGTCAGGAGAAACTGAGTTCAAATCCAGCCTCAGATACGTAACGCTTACTAGCTGTGTGACCCTGGGCAAGTCACTTAACGCCCCCCCCCAAAAAAGAAACATAAGCAAAAATCATAAGATCAACATTTAGAGCTAGCAGTGACCATCCAGTCAAATCCTGTCATTTTACATGTAGGTGGAATAAATGCTTGGTAATTGAAAAAAAATTAATTTTTAAAAAAATATACATTTGTGTAGATGGGCAAGATGGGAATTGTCTTCCTCGATGATCTATGTTTCTTATAGTGATTTTCTTTTTCTTTTCCAAGGGGGTGGGGGTAGATGGGGAAAGAAAATAAGTATGTGACCAATGAAAAAAGTAGTTTAATGCAGGTAGGTGGTGCAGTGGTTAGAGCACCGGGCCTGGAGTCAGGAAGATCTGAGTTAAAATCTGAACTCAGATACTTACTAGATGTGTGACCCTACGCAAGTCACTTAACCCTTATTTACCTCAGTTCCTCATCTGCAAAATAGGGACACTCTGGAGAAGGAAATAGAAAACCACTCCAGTATTTTTGCCAAGAAAAGTCCACAGGGTCACATAGAGTCAGATACAACTGAACAACAGAATGGGGATAATAATAGCGCCTACCTCCCAGGGCTGTTGTAAGGATGAAATGAGATAACACATGTAAAGTAGGGTTTAAACGTGTGTCTCCTGACTGCAAACTCTCTCTCCCTCACTAAGCCATCTGGCTCCTCCCAACCAAATGAGGCCCACACAACTCCCTCTCCTTCCTTCCCCTCCATGATGAGTTGGATTCTCTTGAAGATACAAAAGTTAATTAATTCCCAGGAAAACCAAAGAGCCCTCCATCACCCTCTCTGCTGGCCAGGAGGCAGCAGGGCGAGGGAGATTGCAACATCCCTCACAGCAGGATGTGATAATGTCGCAACTGCCTTGGCACTGCCCTATTGACACAGAGTGATACATCATGGTGACAGGTCAATGCCGCTCCTTAGACAAAGAGATGTCATTACCCAGAGAGCAGTGTGTGGTAACAGAAGCTTTCTAATGGCGCCCAGGAGAGATGCCCTGAAAGCCTTTCAGAGATAGGGTTGGGCTCGGGGGAGATACTTCTCCCCTCAATGGCCCACACATTCCACCGTCTCTGTGTAAAGGCTGCAAGGTTTGGGGGTTAGCCTGAATCAGTAAAAGATGAGTTCAAATACAGCCTCCAATGCCTACTAGCTATATGACCCCAGGTGAGTCCCAGGAAGCTCTTGGAAACTTAGTTCTCGGGGCAGCTAGGTGGCGCAGTGGATAGAGCACCAGCCCAGGAGTCAGGAGGACCTGAGTTCAAATCTGACCTCAGACACATAACACTCCCTAGCTGTATGACCCTGGGCAAGTCACTTAACCCCATTGCCTAGCCAAAAAAAAAAAAAAAAAAAAAAAAACAAACCCTCAGTTCTCTCCTCAGTAAAATGGGGAAAATGGAATCTATAGTGTCTTCCTGTAGTCATGAGAACATCCACACAAATCTCTTTCTAAACCATCAAGTACTACATAAATGTCAGTTACTTAAAGTAATGGTACAGACCACAGGGGCAAAGTTTTTTTTGACTTTGTCTGCCCCTCTTTCCTAAGGTTTAATGTTCATAGGACCCAGGTTCAAAACCCTACTCTGATGCTTACTACCTTTGAGACCATGGACAAGAGACTTGTGCCTCAGTTTCGTCATCTATAAAAAGAAAGGATTGACAAAGAGATCAAAGAAAGAGGAAAAGGACCCATATGTACAAAAATATAGCAGCTCTTTTTGTGGTACCAAAGAACTAGAAATAAGGGGGAGGAGGTATTACTCATTAGTTGGGAAATATCTGAACAAGTTCTGATATATAAATGGGATAGAATACTATTATACCGTAAGAAATGATGAAAGAGACCATTTCAGAGAAAACTGAGGAGACGTGTATGAACTGATACAGAATTAAGCAAATAGAACCAGGAGAACAATTTATATAATAACAACATCATAAAGACAAACAACTTTGGAAGAGAGGAACTCTGATCAACACAATGACCAACCAGAATTCCAGTATGTCGATGATAAAGCATGCTACCCATCTCCAGAGGTGATGGACTCAGAGTACCACAGAAGACATTTTTTTTGACATGTCCCCTGCATGAGTGTTCTGCCTGACCACATCCATTTGTTACAAGAGTTTTATTTTTCTTCCCCCTTCTGACAATTTTATCTTGGTGGGGAAGGAAAGAAAATGGATTTTTGTTAGTTAAAAATTAAGTTTAATTAAAAAAGTAAAGGGAGTTGAATTAAAAAAATGAAGGTCTCCCAGGTTCTTTCCAGCTTATGACCTCTGACCCTCTGATTTTGTCCCCTGGTCTTCCTAACACAGGGCCCCTCCATCTCTAGAATCCCAGCAGCCCTGCCGAGGGTTTTACAATGCAAGTGTTAGAACATGACTTCAACTCCACTGCCTGGCTCACAGCAGAGATTAGGGGTATTTGCATATGATTCAGCTGTGAGCAATTTCTTTACGGGATATACAAATTTCAGTGTTATAAGAGGCTGCAACGCCCTAGCTTTAGGCCCAACAAGCCAGTGGATAAACACATCAAGCCAGAGTTGGCATGACAGGGCCCCTTGACTATCAAGCTCATCAAGAATACTGGCAAAGCTGTTATGAAAATGGGCAGATGTCAGAGAAATCAAAACAAACTCAACTTCCCCCACCTCCACTTATCAGAGAGGGCATCAGTTTAAGCCGAGCTCCGCCTTAGCTCTGCTGGTTCATTGTCCTCTATATAGAAAGGTCCTCAATCACAGGGCTTTTTATGAAGCCTTGAGATTCAAGAATGGAACCCACCGGTAATGACAAAATAGTGGGACGGCTCTTGTCCGGTCTAGCTGTGGCTAGAGGCCGGCCACTCCCACTCGAGCCCCCATCGGTCAATTGGGGAAGTGTAGTGGGATAGTGAGGCAACATGACACAATGGATGGAACATTACCCTTGAAGTCAAGCAAAAT